CCGGGCCCCCCCGGCGGCATGGAGCAGAGCGTGGTGGAGCACCCGGTGACCCTCATCATCAAGGCCCCCAACCAGAAGTACACCGACCAGACCATTAACTGCTTCCTGGACTGGACCGTGGGCAAGCTGAAATCTCACCTCTCCAAAGTGTACCCCAGTAAGCCGGTGAGTGGTCGGACGGCCCTTTTCTGCCGTCTCTCCCCCAGGGCTGGCGGTGCGGGAACTTGGGGACGGGTGGGCAGGACTTTGCTTAGGGACTCTGCGGAATAAACAGGAGTGCTGCTGCTGGAGAGTTCCGTGTGTGGAGGCGGTGGCTGTCCCTCTGCTGCCAGGGAAGTTGTTGGCAGCGTAAGTAGCTGCTCTTTGGGGTGTTGTGAGACGGTCTCAGTGTGGCTTCCTGAAAGGCAACACTGCTAAAGATGTTCATTAATACTTCCTTTACCTTTCTTTGGGAGCTAGAATTTAGGCATCTCAACTGAATGTTAAACTTAACTTTTTTAAACCTAAGGCATATGTCTGAAGTAACTACAGTGTAAGCAATGTGCCCGAGCTTAACACTCTAGTCTAGTGAATGCACTGAGTTTTGCAGCAGACAGGTGTGTTTATTCATTATATCATTTGAAACATGTTGTTGAGCAACCACTAACATTATTTCCTTATATAATTATTTCCTTCCCTCCTTGAAAAGCCATTTTTCTCGAGGTTGTGCTGAAAAATTCTGCTCTCAGGTGTTTCCAAGCTAAACTTGTATGACAGCTGTGACTCTGTTTTGAAACTTAATATGAAGTTTGGGGGTTTCTTTGTTCCTGAGGAAAATATAGTTTATTTATGAATTCTTTTACTTTCTAAATTTGGCAGTGACAAAGAGGCTATGAAAAAACCAAAGGCAATAATAGATAATCCTGTACCTGTTTACAGTGTCAGTCATGCAGAGTGATATATATGAAAATTTGTTCCAGAGAACTGCATAAAGGGAGTGACTTTGCTTCCATACTGCAGCAGCACATGGGGCCTAGACTTTGCTGTGGAAAGCATCAGAAGGTGGTTTCATTTATGTTGTAAATTATTACTATTCACCTAGTTCAATAGAAGAATTACTGTCATTGTTGATAGTTTTTTTTCCTTGATGGGGAACTGTAAAATGGTAGTTTTGTGTTTCAAAGGAGGTTTCTGCTTTTGGAGAAGGAACAAGAAGAAAAGCAGTCAACAACTTGGTTCCTTGAGGTCTGTTCAGCAGTGTTAGTTCATGGATATAGTTGCTGTTGTAATTCTCTGCTGAGAAAGCCTATCTGCTGTGCAAAACAAATACGTGACTCCAGCTGAGAGCTCCTTCTTCCTTCTCTCTCACTAGACTCTGCTCCAGTGAGATGTTTGTTTAAACACTGGTTTTCTGACTCATCCTCTCATCTTGCTAAGTTGAGCTCCTGAAAGGAAGGATCCATGATGAACAAGAGGTTTTCATGTGCTGCAGGTTTTAAACAGTAGGATAACATTAAGTTTCAGTTTCCTGAAACTTATTTCGAAAATAAGATTCCTCAACATGCCTCTCATTATTAAATGACTAGTTCAGAATCCCCAGAATTGTTCTGGGTTAAAGAATGGGGAGTTTCTTTAGTGAAAATCATCTCGGTAACTCCTGTTTAATTTGGATTTATTGTACTTGCAGTTAAGCTAGTAACCAGACACAGTATTATTTCATAGAACCTTTAAAATTAAAGTAATAACATGGGAGAGGAGAGAGGTGTTGTATAGGATGGCTCCTATATATAGCAAAAACCAGAAGTGTATTTTTGGCTTGATGTGTTTTTGACATTGTTACTACTTTTTTCAAGTTTGTTTACCTCTTTGTGCTTTTAGGAGCTTCCCCTCCCGCTGTTTGGTTTTTTCTGGTTTTGTTTGTTTTAAACCAGTTCAGTGTCAAAAGCTTGTTGATCAGATTTCTATGTTCCCTGAATATGATAGGTCCTGGAAATAACTTCTATTGCAATGCTATTTTAGGGCTGTGAGGGTACATCAGAACACAGACTCTGTGCAGGATTCGCAGTGTTCTTGAAGTTAGGGAGTAAAATAGAGATGAGTTGCTGCCACTGCTGTACATAATCTTTCAAGTTTTCAGTGTGACTTGAACCTCATCTGCAAATTAGTCAGTAAACTGGTAGTAATTGTTAATGCTGTAATTAAATTTACAATTTATTAAGAGTAGATCTTCGGAAAATGGGGAGGTTAAAGTAGACAAGAAGTTAGTCCTTGAGGCAGTGTTTCTTGTGATTTTTCCAGGTTAATTTGTGAAAATGACTTGCCTAAATACATACAAATGTCTAATATAGGCAGCTTTAACTTGGGTTAGTTGTTATTAGAGTTTATATGCTTTCCTAAGTCAGTCATTGAATAAGCTAAATACGTTTAAAATGGTATTAAATTAGCTTGTGAGTCTGTACTAAGGTTCACATTCATCAGTATTTTTATTCCCTGACTGGACCAGTTCTTCACAGCTAGAATACTGCAGTTACCATGTCCCCAGATGAAATGTTTGTGTAAATTAGCATAAGGTGGTTGTAAAATCAACCTGTATGTCTCAGTCTGGTAGATCGAACCTTCAGCACATTAACTGCTGCATCGATTGCACCCATGAACAGTAATTCAAAACTGCTGTTTCTCATTTCCTGTAGTACCTGTCATCTAGTATATACTTTGCCTAGAGTTCTAACCAGATGTGGTTGTTTGGGGTTTTATTTCCTATGGAAGAACGGGAGAGAGGCTGAGTGACTGAAATAATATTCATAGCTAAAACAGTCTAGCTCAGAGATTGCCTGTGTTCCTAAAGGACACTCCTGCATCAGCTTAGGTTTGGTGGTTGGTAGTGTGCTGGGCATAGCTAATTTGGACTAAACATTGCATAAGAAGTCTTGCTTCAAAAATGGAAGAAAAACAATGCTGGATGTGGAATTCCTAGATTTCAATACGTACCTTTGGGATTATGACCTGCAAACTGTCTTCTATCTCACTCTAAACTTTAGGTTCTAGAATGATTTCATCTGATGCCATGTGCTTGCTTATGAAAATGGGGCCACTCTAATTATGTATTCCTAAGTGTTTTTCCATCACAGATCAGTGTTTGAGCTAGCAGTGAGCGTGCTGTTCCTTGAAGCAGGAGGTGTGGTAGTGAAACCTCCTTTGGCAGAGGATGAGCTGAATGCCTTTTCCGTTTACTTTGGCATATTACTGTGTTATTGTCAATTACAGTGTTCTCACATTTATCACCTCCTCTTCCATCTGCATTTCAAAAAGCCCCCAAAACAACACCACATTTTAGGATGGCTTTCAACCTGAGAATTGCAAGTGATAATCCTGCAGTGCTCAGATAGGTATTTAAGTTACATGGAGAGGAGTATGGGGTTTAAGGCCTCATCTTCCCCCATTAATGTCTCTGTTTTAATATGATTAACTGTACTCAACGGGTGTTTAACCTTTTCTTCTGTGGTTTTGTAAAGAGCTGAAACGCATTACTGAAGGCTGTGTAGTCAGCTTTGAGGGGTCGTTTTAATTTAGCAGTTTCTCCTCTGTAAAGTATTCATTTTTAAAATGTTACTTGTCTCACTTGGGAGAAGATACTTAGGGAGTGTGGAGGAGCTCATACTTAAGGTGCTGAAGAGAAGAATGTCAATTTGACCGTGTAGAAAGCTGTATTATGAGTGGGGCAGGCAAAACTACACTCTCTTGCCATGTTGGATGTTGCTTTAAAGATTTGGAGTTTGAGGGATTTTTCTGGTTGTGTTTTGCTTGTTTCAAAGTGCTTATGTGTTCTAATTAATCTCCAGTTAATCTGTCAGGACCCAGAAACAAGGATCCTTAGGTTTTTCTTTTGGCAGAACTGGTCATTCTAAAGCAACAAGTTTCTAATTTAGAGGAAATGAAAGTTTTCTTTAATCTTGATGCTGAGCATTCTGGGGTTGGTTTTTTTTTCTAAGGCCTCTCCCAGATACAAAATGCAAGTAAGCTTTTATTCTGTTAGCAGCCTGTTACTGTTTGAAAGGAGAAACCGAAAGGGTAGAGTGCAACAAGAAGTTAGCCTGACATGAGAGAGACATTTTTTGTTGTTTTAAATGTGAGTAGAAATAGTACAGCATTGACGCTGAATTTACTGCAGTATTTTATCAATTTGAGCTGCAAATAGCCAGTTCCCTGTGTTGTGAGTCTTGAAAATAGTGTATTGTCACTAATTAAATATACCAAAAAATGCCGAATATAGAGAAGTGCTCTTAAATAAAAGTGATAAACAGTTTTGCACAATACGTGGCAGGTTATGAACTCCTTTTTAAAAGGCATTTTAACATGAATGGCTAATACAGATTTGGGATAAAGTTGAAGCAGTAGCTTCTCAGGTTTACTGTGTACTTTTTATAATTACTTGCTTTGAGTATCTCTTTTTTTTTTTTCCTATTGATACGTCTGTTGTTTCATCTAAAAAAACCCAGTTCTGCACCTCTTTTATAGTGTGCTAAATTATTGGGAATCTGTAGCAGACTATTGCGAGAAAAAAATCATGTCGAAACTTGCGTGAAAGCTTTTTCTAATCACAGAGATCTGGATCTCAGTTATTTGTGTCTTAGTATTAGCATAAGCAAGACAGCAGAGTGGGCAGCAGAAGGCTGGGATAAAAAGAGGAGAGGTGTAAGACTAGCTGTTTGCATGGTGGGGAAATTCTTCAAATATTTCACGTTGATAATGCATGTCTGTTCGCTGACGTTAGGCTGGAGTTCTTCATTTAGCATTTGCTTATGTTAGTGCTGTCTCTCAAGTGATAAATGCTACTGAATTAATTTAGGGTGTAAGCAGTAGGTAAACCGAATTGGTGTGACAATTGGATTCTCTCCGGAATTCTTCGGAAATGGGTGAACACTTGGGGGCTTTTTGAAGAAAAAAAGGTGAGAGGTATATTCACATGGTTACACAGGTTAGTGACCCACTAGTATGAAGGCTATTTACAACTTTTTTTTGACAATATAAATGGAATTGAGTGGGGTTGAGGTTTCTCTTTTTTTGTTTTGTTTACCCAAGTAAGCTTTAGTGTCCGGGACATCCTTACTGTAGATAGGTACCCCAAGTAGTTTCCTTTTAAAAGTCATTTGTCATTATCTCTTCCATGTAGAGTAGTTGAAAGTTAATACCTTATGAATAGCATATCATTAGTTTAAAAACAAAGTAAATCTTTGTGTGCATGTCTAAGTTATTTTAAACTGTGGAACTGTAAGAATAGGAAAAAAAGCTTATCAAAGTTGGAAGGTTGCCCTAAAAATATGCTTTTACTGCTTCGTGCTTTTTAGTGCTTTCCTCCTTGTTTTCTCTTAGGATGTTTTGTTTTTTTGGGGGGGAGGTGAGGATGGGAGCATGGACTAGTAACAGAAATTCCTTGTTGAAATGGCTGGAAATTTGTACTCTTCTGCATATTTTAATTGTCATTCCATCATTCTACTAACTGGTTTTTTTTTGGGGGGGGGGGGGGGGGTGTTGTCTTTTTATTTGCTCTGGCCACTTCTCCATGTATATTTTCAGAAAGTGCCTGAGAATGGGAGCAGAGTAAAGAAGAAATCACTAAAAGAAAGAAATTTTGGGATGTACTTGACAGTTTTCTTGGTCAGTGTTTGCTATTAAATGTTGTTAATTGTTATGGCACTGTTGCTGAGTGCTTAATAGCAGAATTCTTTTCCAGAATTAATTTGCAAATTGGACATGTAAAGCCTCTGAAATTATTGTAAGGCTGTTTGTTAGTGGTTGGACTTCAAACAGTTTTTTCTCATCTGCAGATGTTATCTCCAGCTGTAAACCTGTACAGCAGGAAAAAAGCTAAATTCCTTTCTTTGTCCCCATCTCCTAGTCTACAAAGGATCAGAGACTGGTGTATTCTGGCAGACTGCTTCCTGATCATCTGCAGCTGAAAGATGTTCTCAGAAAAGTAAGCCTTATATCAACACTGTATGATATTTGATTAACTTCCCTCTTGGGGAAATAGGAATTTAGATTTGTGTTCTTTAGCTTCCAGTTTTCATTGTTGTATCAAGACGTATTAACCATATAATGTTCATATGTTCTGGAAAATGTGTTTTCAAGTATCTCTTGTGTGTAGAATTATGATACTTATGGGTTGAGGTGTGTTTCTGATTGGTGGGAGAGCAAGTTGGCCAAATCCCAAACAAACGATATGTAGTGTACCACAGAATCATGGAATGGTTTGGGTGGAAAGGGATCTTATAGATCATCTAGTTCCAATGGCCCTGCCTTGGACAAGGACACCTTTCACGAGACCAGGCTGCTCAGCCTGGCCTTGACTTCATCGGACAGTTACTGCTGTCACATAAATGGAATAATGTAACATACTTGTTTTGGGACATCATTTAATTTCTTGTACAGGCTTAAATCCAAGAATTTGCATTAAAAATGGTACTTGTGAAAGCTGATTAAGGGTAATATGTTTAATATATGCAAAACCAGAATTCTAAATTCCTGAATGGCTTCCTGGAAAAGCTGTTTGTTTTCCTGGTTTTGATTCATCATCAATTAACCATTCCTGATGGAGTTTGAAAATTTGCTGGTTCTTGCTGTTTCCATTTCCTTGTTTCTTTTTTTTTTAGTTCTGTTTATTCTGATTGAAAAAACTAATTCTATTAATCTAATTTTGGATTATTCAGTCAGCATTTAAATCCAAATCCTGACTACACATGACACTTCATGTAGGAAATCTTGGAATACATGCAGTTGGTTCTCGGATTGGTTCAAATAGCTTGGATTGGTGCTACAAAGTAATAGGGGCTTCATTAAGTTAGAGTTCTTCATGTTTAGAATAAGATATGTAGAATAGATTATAAAGAGCTTTTGTTTGAATTTTGGTTGTGACAGAAAACATGATGTGTTACATTGAGTAAACTTGTAAACAGCTCAGGAAGCATCAATAGCTGTTCCTGGGGAAATACTTCAGGTCCTTAAACATTTTTTAATCCTATGAAATAGGTGAACTCTGTAATGCAGCACCTGGGTGGTAATAATTTTTATAGAGGTAAAAATTGATGTACAGACTGCAAGAGTGGCCAGGTTGTATTTAGTATGGAGGAAAATCTCTGAAGGAGAGTAGTGCTTCAGTGGAAGTGGGCAACTGCTTCAGCACACTAACACTGCTATTACCTTATAATCTTCATTCTGAAATAGATTTTATTAAATGGGATGAAATTGCTTACCTAAAAATTATTCCAATTTACTATGTGTGGGTTTACCAGAAAACCAAAGCTGGACTATTCCCAACCAGTACATGTCCTGTACCACTTAAAAGTTTAAGGAAATGCTTATATAAGTTACCTCAAAGCTTAATTTTCCTTGTTAAGGACAAAATGAAAGCTGACTCCCTTAAATGCACTTGGCCTGCTTACAGCAGACTGGTTTTAGAAAACAGGATTTCAGACCTTGGTTATATGCTGGAGGAGAAGCTTTTTAACTGATATCTTCCTTCACTGTACAGCTTAGACTTAATGGCTTTTATAGGCCTTGAGTTTACTTAAAGTAATTTAGTGAATTTGAAAACATACCAGTCTTAAGCACAAAGTTAAAAATTTGTGTTGTAAGAAGAGGAGTTTTCTGTGCTGGAGCTTTTAAGAGCTTTTGACAAAAATACATGATTAACCTTAAATTCAGTCTCATTCCCTGCCATATCCTGCCTAGTTGATTAGATATAAATTCCTAATATTATCTGAGGTTTTACTAGATCTCTTAAGTTTAGCTTTGGGGTAGTTGCTCTTTGATACTGAGCAGTGTGATTTCATTGATACAAAATACCTCAAGGCTGGAAGTTGTGGCACTCTTGAAGCATAGTGATGTCCAAGACATTCTGTATAAATAGAAATATATTGCAGTAAACTGTCACATTTAATAAAGCTGTAAGCTTACCAGTGAGATGTTCAGCTTCCCCTGCCTTTCCCAGGGGTGTAAACTGTTATCTAAAAAGGAGGTGAGTAGTTAGGTTAAAGGCTTCTGAGGTGGTCAGACTGCTGATCACCTCTGTTCAGTGCTCTCTGATCTTTGCTTCCTGTCACTGACTGGTATGAAATTACGCTTGGTGTAATAGTGAGGCTGTGCTTGAGGCCAGGAACCAATGCAGAGTTTAAATGACTGTGGGTGTGCTTAGCCTGTGTTGGCCGTAATGCACAGTGGTGTATAAAAGCACTTACCTAGTTTGCTTTATTCCTAAAGGCTAAAATTTAAAAAAAATGGGTAAATATGTTTTAATACTTTTTTTGGTATAGTTTTTAAAAAATAAAACCCTTCGAACACAGCATTTCTAAATGTCATCTCATTAAAAAAGGGAGATTGCCTGTACCACGCTGATTTCAGAAGAGGACAGGAAGGTGTTTTTGCTGCTTTTCTTGTTTAAAATTTGGTTACTGAGGAAGCTGTAGTGTGCAGTTTAAATAGGCACTCATAGCTGTTCTGTTGCTATGGCCATATAAGGAGGTGTTTTAATCTGGTACAGTGAAATAGCTTCAGATTCAAGTTGTTATGGTATCTGTATTGGGAGGGTGAGCATATTTCTGAAGAATTGGTGTGGGCTGATTACTAGCATGCTGACATGACTTCAAGCGGTGCCACTCCTTTGCTTCCTCACTTTCAAATGCTAAGGAATACTCAAGTCTCATTTAACACTTTCAGCAACATTCCCCAAGTAGAGGCTCTTCACTTGGGTGCCTGCAGGTTAAGCTTGAGCCAAGCTTAGACAGGAGTGAGTTGGAGGCAGTGGCAGGTACATTTTTCTTCATCTGATTGTGGAATTTCAGCACCTATGTTTTTTTTATGTACCCTAATGTCTTTATTGAAAAACACTGTTCATTAGATCTCAGTACAAATGTAAGCATTCTTAGCTTCAGGGAAACTGAGCCCTGTAAAGGGTTTGAGATTTTTCCAAAATGAAAATTAAAGCTTGCAATATACTTCCTCATGTTTCTCCCAGGATTCTCCCATTAGTTATGCTATACTGCAGTGGTAGGGGAAAACTGGGGTAAAGTCAATGTTCCATGTGTTATTGTGGACAGCTGCTAAGAAGACATTAGCTGAGAAACAGATTCTCTTGTGCTAGGCTCAAGTTTTGCTTTTATGGGAAATTGCATAATGTTTCTTTGCTGTTTGCAAATGCAGCTTTGAAAGTGGATTTTTAAAGAAGGTTTTTGTGTGTAAATTTCTCAAATACTGTTGCTTTAGCTCTTCAATTTCTTTGATTTTTAGCAAGATGAATATCATATGGTTCATCTGGTATGTACTTCCCGGACACCCCCAAGTTCTCCAAAACCCAGCACCAGTAGAGAAGGTCACGGAGCTTCAACCTCCAGCAGTAGCTCAGTGAGTTTTTTCAACACAGGACATGAATTTCTTCTACACTAAGGAAGTTTTCCATTAATTTCTCTTGTAATTTTTAAAATTTGACTGTAAAATAGCATGGTGAAAGTAGAGCATGCCATGTGAATTTGTACAATTAGACCTGATTATTTAAGGGTGTCATTTTATTAACAAGATATTTTATAAACAAAGATTACCTTATTTCAAATAGTAATAAAATTATGTTTATTAGATGATAAAGCACTACTTTTTGTAAGCTATTCTTTCTTTTCTACACTCTATTGAAAATCACATTTTCCTTTCTCTAAGTATTCCTGTACCTATGGCAGAAATTGAGCACTGTAATCAGAATTTAAAATAACTACGTTTAGATCTATTTTGTGAAAATTCTGTACTGCTGAAGAGATACCAGTCAAAACAGTGCCCTTATTGTGAGATACAACTGGAGCTTGGCCAGGGTTAATTCTGTTTGGCAGGAGTTGGCAGGTATTTATGTATGAGCTTCGAGGTAGTCAGTGTCTGCAAGACAGTGAGAAATAGAAAGTTTGTATCTGTTAATAGAACACTTTTGTTTAGGGTGTTTTGAGCCTTCTCCTCTTCTTTGGTTGTACTCTGTTTTAAGTGCAGCTCAGGTTTCTGTTGATGACTTGGTAGTCATTACTGTAATTTTTTGGCATTTTCCAGAGTTGGTATCACTAAGCAACCCTTGAAGGTTAGTCAGAAAGGGATATACATAATGCCGTTGTAGGTACTTCTCATCTGAGGTGTTGATTGTCAGCATATGGGAAATTGCCTCCCAGTAATAAGCTGTCTTCATTCTGCTGTTGACAGGGTACTGTATCACACTGCTATGTGACAGTCAGAAACATGAGCAGCTTAAGCAATGGTTGAGGTTGGACAGTGGTTTCCATCTTTTCAGTGGCTGTATTTATACCTCTCTTTGCATGCAGGACACCGGGTACCTCCCTGCAATTGTATTGCTATGTAGATCAGTTGTAAATGTTTTATTTAAATTACTGTATTAATGACTGCTTAAAGCAGTCTGTATGCACAGTGTAAAGTTCACAATACTTTGAAGGAAACGGTCTTAACCCAGAGCTTGAATGGCCTTTGTCCTTCCATTTGTTTTGTATTTTCCTGGCCCCATTGTCTGGTGGTAAATTTTTCTCATTTTCCTTTGTAGGGCAAGTGTGATATGGTTGTTTTAAGTAATTGCATCTCCTCACTTCCTGAGTTGTCAAAGTTGAAGAGGATTTTCTACTGAGTAAACATTACAGTAATTCATAGCAACAGGATTTGGGGATTTATTAAAACTGAAGTAATGCATCTCAGTGGCCAAAAATTGTAGCTTTGTTATGGTGACAAGCAGTTTAGGAGCCAGCTATTGTCCTAATTCCAGGGTTAAGAACTGATCTTGGAAAGTATTGAAGGCCTGACACTAGCTTTAGGTGTTCCTGGGAGCCTAAGTAGTTTCCAGCTGCTTCCCTGTTTCCACTGCCAGCCCCCTTCTAGCCCCCTTCCAGCAGTGAGCACAGCAATTTGGATTGGGCAGTTGGCACAGTGAAGAGGATGAAGACTAGAAGGGGTAACTGAAGAGGAGGATAGAAGAATGGTATTTTAAGCCACTGCAGGCACTCTAGTCTCTGCATATAAAGTCATATGCTGAGGTTGTAGTTACTTCTGTTAACGATAGCCACTAGAATTTTTGTTGCTGCTAAAATATTCTTTCAATTAAGTTTTAGTTTGCTTCAGCTTTTTGAAACTTAATTTCCAGTGACTTGTGGTTTTCTCTGGAACCTATCAAGTGTCTTTCTGTCTTTCTGAAAACCTCATTTTTGTAATATGTGCACCTGAGTGCAATTTTGAATTTCTGTTTTTACTAAGGCTTGCCAGAACCAGTGAAACCCCAGAGGACTTGCCTGGTGCTTGTATTCTCAATAAATCTTGTGACAAAGTCTTAAAGCAAATAGTTTTTTAAGACACAGAAGTAAACCTTGTAACTGTGGCAAAAAGATCCACAACTTCAATTGCATTTATTTTTAAGAATTTAGACCGTTCTGGATCACCTGCTGCCTCACCCACAAGCCGAGAAGCTTCATCTACATCTTTGAACGCTAATGCTGATGGAGTGAGGCATCGTAATCTTCCTCAAGCACAAAGCAATCCCACACCAAGCCACCAGTTCCCTTATTTAATGCAAGGGTAAGTGAGACCGAAGCAATCCTCAGCTCTTTGATACTCTTTAAAGTACTTTAAATGTTCAGCTGTAATTGTTTCTTTCAGTATGCAGAATGGTTTGGTTAGTTCATCTTGAAGCATAAGTCACATTAGAAGCATTTTTCATGTGAACATTAATGCTTTTAGCCAGGTGTCAAAGAGTAAGTGTTCTTGGTGCTCCCCTTCAGGATGTTGTTTTTATTTTTAATGCTTTCTGCCCTCAACTTTCTGTTGATGAGTGCAGCTTTAATATATGTAATGAATGGAGTTAGTAATGGAACTGATAAGATTTTTGGTCCTGGTTGCTTTTTTCTGTTCTTTGTTGAAATCATCAACAGTAAATTCTTCTCAGAATATGATGGTTCATAGTTTTTTACACATAAGAGATGTAATTCTTCACTTCTCCATATTGAATTCAACTGTAGAAATGATATGTAGGTGTTTTGAGTAGATGTGTCTACAACGGAACATTTTAAGTATTTTCATGCATAGCAATGAAATGTCACCAGTGTACATTTCTGGATCAGATCTGTTATTGCATAACTAGTAACATTCTGTTGTTTGTTTTGTGCTTAAAAAGCAGCTTTAGGAATTTTAGCCCATGTGACCTTTGCAGTTGCTTAAACATGTTGTTGTTATTAGTTTCTTCCAAAGGGAAAACAGGAGGATAGTGCATTTTTTAAATGATAGCTGTTATTTCCACAGGGAGCACTTCAAAGTTTTCTTTCTGACAAGGTGTTCTCCCAGTACTGTATAGATTCTAGAAACCTGCTTTGGAGGACATTGAAACAAAAAGACAAACAAGCTATGAAGGTGGTGAAAGTAACAATTTCTGTCACTTGGAAGTAAACAGATGTCAAGAACTGTTGAAAATGTGTTTAGTTTCAGTTCAATTTATGTACTCTCTTGTTAGAGTTAAATTAAATTTTACTAGTCTTGCTAGTTTTCATCCTGAATTCCTGCAAGTGTATTTTATTTTCTTATTTGAAATGTACTGTGTGCTGGGAAGAAATCGTCTTTGCAGTGGGTGGAGTATTTATGTTATTCTGACTGTGTACATCTGGGCAGAAGTGGTGATACTTGCCTTTATGACAGAGCTAGGGGAGACTAGGTTGACTGTCAGGACTGCTGTTCGGGGTAATTTAATTCTGGAAGCAGTTTATTATGTATTGTGTAGATGACTAATTTGTAAGAAGTTTTGATGCTTTTTCTAATTAGCTTTTCTCATAGTCATACTCTTGAGTTTGTCATGCATGGTGGCCTGAATAGGCTATGGACTTCATAAAGGCAGCTGAAACATTGCTCAGTCTGTGGGCCAAAATAATTCAATTAAAATGCAATGGGACACATCAGTTTAGAAGACTTTGCTATCTTTGAAAGAAAGAGTAACTTCAAAGTAAATTGAAAACAGTAAGTCTGTGACTTGCTATATCTAGCATGTAATGTGGATTGAAAGGAGTGGATCTGTAGCCTGAAAGAGGTGCTGAGAACCTGACATCAACACTACACGTGTTTCAGGGGTTTCGGTCTTACTTGGACTGTCTCTAGCTTGGTTACCTTGAGTAGGGTCCTGTTTGTGGCTAAGGTGCACTAGCATTGCCCCTAAATCACATCTTTCAATTCTGGGTAATCCGGAAGGAATTCATATGGTGATCCAAGAGCTTTCTGTGGTGCGAAGAAAGTTTGTAAGAGGAAGTGTCTGGAGGTTTGCAGGAGTACATCCCAATCTGAGCAGAAGTGCCAAAATAAACAGACTCTAAATAATCTTAGGTCTTTTATTTTTATTTTTTTTGGAAAGTGTTTGAATGGAATGCTATCAGAACTTTAAAGCAGATCTTTGTGGACTGCTGGGCACTGGCTCTGCTCAACTCCAGATAATCTGTGCCAGTGCCTGCTGTAGTCTGCTTTCCTCTTGAAAAACCCTTTTTAATGCTTCAGTAATCTTCTCAGATGCATCTGGTTTTGCTTTAGGGCACTGCTACTTGTATTCTAGCAGTAAGAAATGCCCTCTGGTTTTTTAGCTGCTCTGCTAAAGATCATCTGGGTCAAGGAAGTCTAGCTTTAATGTAATTTATACACAGATTGAGGTTTGTTTGGGACAGTGTAGATTCACAGCTGAAATTGATGTTGCTTTGTGGATTTTTCGTATAATTTTACGACCAGACACTTTTATTCTAGCTGTACGATTAACTGTATGCTCTACCGATGGGAAAGATCTTCAGATGTTTGAAAATGTATGAGGGTCAGTTTTCTTGAGGATTTTGCAATACTTCCATTAGGAAACTGATTTATGCAAATAAGCAACACAAATGTTAGGTGATTAAAGGATGGTTTTGATTGTTTTTCAATTCCTGGCACAAAACTTCAGTGTGTGAGTCGAATACCTTTTGGGAAAACAGCATTTAATTTAGATTAAAATTTTACAGAGAAAACAATTTTAAAACTTTCTGTTGCTTTTGGCCTTTTGCAAATGCTATTTTAAAAAAAAATCTAAAGTTGAGGTGGGACTGGGCAAGTAGTGTATGTATGTACCAAGTTAGTCTTTAGCTGTGGAGAGCAAGCACAGCATTATCTGTTCCTGTGGATGTAGTCATAGATCAGGGCCCCTTCTGTGCCATGCAGGTACAAACAGAACAGATGGGCTCAGTCCTGAAGTGGCTTGCATTTCAGATTGCAGAGGACTTGGAAGCAGTAAGCAGACAAGAAACATCAAGGCAGTGAGATTATTTGTCAAGTGTGGGTGGCCCATCTACTGAAATGTTTTCATATTGTAATGTTTGTAATTCATGGTAATGTTTGAAAGCAAACAACAAAATCACATACTGACAGCATGCAGTGTGTTCTAGTACAGAAATGCCTTGCTGCACCAGCTGCCTTTGCTGGCTGTATTTTTTTATTTTTTTTAAAGTAGCAAATAACATAGCAGAGGATATTGAAATATCACTTGAGGTTGCTATCCCAGGCTCATATGAGACGAATAGTAAATGAGTTGTCTGTGGGTCAAGGTTAAACAAACACAGTTATGGTCAGTCATGCAGATGACAGAGGATGAGCTTTTAAGTCTGAATAAAAAGTCTTACTTTCCCACTAGTGGTGAGCAGTATCTTCGTGCTAATTGCTACCTAGTCTGACTTTACCCTCAAATTGAGTGCCGGTTAGCTCAGTTTAGAATTCTTCCATAGACCAAAAGAAGTAATTCTGCGCTTCCTACCCATCTAAGGAATATCGTGCGTCTTTTCAGAATATTCTGAAACTACCTCTACCATCTGAACCTTAAAAGCTGTTGTCTGCTTTTTCTAACTGCTCTATTGTCTGCTCTGCTTTGTTCACCAATCCTGGAATGCCTGCACCTGTGCTGCTGCTTCCATTCTTGTGAAATACTCTACTTCCTACCACTTTCTCCTCCTTTTAGAAAAAGATGAGGAGAAAGAACATGCTACTTCCCTTTTTATTCTAACAGCAAGCTAGCTGTTACACTGTTTTAGACTTTTTTGTGAATTTCATAAGCTAATTCAATACCGTGGCAACTGTAATAGCTGCATAATTGGCAACATCTGCCTCATTTTGATTTTTGATGAACAAACAAAATACTTCTATGCTAGTTGGTATTCTTTCTAAGCCAGGAGCCAGTCTACTTTGGCTGATTACTGGAGCCAGATCTTGAAAAATTAAGTCTTGCTTTTCAAAAACTCACATCTTCTAGAAAAACTGTTGGAAGAAAAATGAAAAAAAAATTGTAAACCCCACCAAAATATTTGAATGGAACAATAAATAACACGGCGTAACTGAAATTTTGTGATTTGTCGTGTTTGACTGGTTTCTTAATCTACTGTTAAGCTTTAAGACATCAAGAAAGCAACTTTCAAAAGAGTTTGGAAGAAAGGAGAGGCTCAAATCCTGTAATATTTCTTAAAGATCTATGAGGGTGAGATCTTAGCCTAAGACCTCTCAGCTTTTGTTGAGCTTAACATAGCAGTTAGAAAGAAGAACCCTAAAACCTGTAACTGATGAGAAAAGCAGCTGCTGAGTTTCTGCAGAACTCAGGCAAGTTGGATAGCACTGCTTATTGGTGACTGAGCAGAAAATTCTGCTTGTTGACATCCCCTGATCACATCTGATATTCTACCTGCTTGAAATTGAGGCAGTGCTCAGTGGTTTGTCTCAATGTAATACTTAATGACACTTCATATAGAATATTTGAATCATCTTTGTGTTGAGAGTCAAATGTTTCATGAATTTTGGAGGAATCTTATTTCTCAGTGTTTGCTAGTTCAGGGGATAGAAAAACAGGTTCTTAGATCTTGCAACTGTAAAGTATGATTAATGTTTTTCAATAGCAGCTTGACAGCTTTGCTGTTTCGATGTGTTAATTATGCATCAGTAAGCAGCATCAGGAGGGCTGCCAGTTCTCCCTTTCAGTTTTTGAAAGAAACCTAGAGTACTGCCTATAATTATCTTAGTTTTTGTGTGGCATCAGGAAACTACTTTAGCTTGCCTCCCCTCACTCCCCCAAACTATTGTCAAAACATAACAGTTTTAGCAGAGGTCATGGAGTTGCATGGCAGGCTCTTGTCCAAAATTACAGTGAAATACTTATTCATGTGTAATATGGAAAAACAATTTTAATGTCTTCCTCCCATCTTTCTTTCTGGGCATGTCGTGTATATCTGAGTGCCTGGTAGACTAATGAAATCTCTTGGTGATATCTTTGCAGGGAGTGCCTTACTTAGGGAACAGGTGTAGTCTGCAGTGCAATTACAGCAGTCTCAGCTTTTGCTACCTGCAGTCTGAATAAACTTTTCTTCATGCTTTATACTCATGCTGTCCTGAAAGATGTCCTGGTTTACTACAGTTCACTACATCAAAATCTTTTGGGAAA